GAATTCTAAGAATGAAAAAATACATATTTTTTTCCACCCGACTGTTCATTTGTATGCTAATGTCTTCTGACTTGGCTTGAATGTTATGAAAGCCAAAGCTGTTGGAAGCCTCTGATTTTCATTCCTCCACTAGCACTGAGGTAAAAGAGAGTGAATACTTGCTAGCAATGAGACACAAGAAGTGCACACCTGGAATACACAGCGAATGAAAAGCCTTGTGAAGCAGATCCTCTGGAACACAACAATGCCGAAATGGCCTTCTGTCACGGTCCTTCTCATCATGTCAAGGTCTGGAAAGCGCAACACAGACTGCTGATGATTTCAACAGATAAGAGTACACTAAGATTTAAATAAACTGTTTTAAACTACTGGTGTCCCAGGCATTACCTGTGAAAGAATCTTTGACTCTTCTTATACTGCTGGCTGTTCATTCCATCATTCATATTTTAGCAACTGCATGACAAATTAACAATTGCTGGACAAAGTAAACACTGAAAAAGATTATACACTGTAAAAGAGCCATTGCATTGAAACAAAATACATTAAAGATGTATTAAAAAGTGCCTTTGGCACTCCATATAAGAGACACTTCCTTGTACAAAGAGATGTGCATGTTTTGGACCTAGCCAGTAAATATTCTCATTCCATGAGATCTCTCAAGAATCCTCTGAATGAGACCCCCAGCTCAATAGATAACTAAAATAGTATCCTGCCCTCTTACAGTGTTTCGGGGGGTTGTTTAAGCTGTTGATAACAACAGAAAAAAAACAATGAAGCACAGTATGTTAGAAGCACTTAAAATTCAGAGTCAACCGTTACTGTCCATGTCTGCAAAGTAATGTGTTGCTTTCAGCTCCAACTCCTACAAAGCATTCCTCAGAATGAACACTCAGAATGAACCTAATCAAAAACCACTTTAAGGATTAAATCAGTAGCAAATAGTGCCTCGACCATGCATTGAAATCAAAGCTACCACTGTACCAACTCTTGTGCCTGATTTGTATCGTGTTTGATGTGAACTGGATGGTGTGTACAAGTATTCATGAAGTCAATAAATTGAATTAGCATGGCTGTTCATTCTGGGAGGTCTTTACCAACTCACCAGATCCCCGGAGACTGAACCGAATCTGCGAGGAAAGGCGATATTTCTCTCTCGTTCTGCCAGGACTTCCTCTGTTGCACTCTGCTGCCCTCCCGTGCACAATAAAAGATGTTTAATTTGCGCACGCACAGGGAAACAGAGGCATAGCGTGCCAGTTTATATCGGCCCGCAGAGACACAAACTCAAAGATGTAAACAAACAGACAAAAGAAAACACAATCTTTTTTTTCCCCCAAAAGCCTTTAAATATTACATTGGCATTCTTCCGTTACCTATCAGCTGTGCTGAAATTTGCCTGAGCCTCCGTTTCAAAGGACATAATGAAATCACAGTGGAATAACTGGGTTGAAACAAAAATCCAAACCCAAAAAATGTGCAAAAGCACGTGAGTGTGTGGATTCCTCCAATGGCCTCCTCACTGGGAGTGTGGCAGATGACTGGCAGGCAGAGTCACCTCTGCAGGCTTTCTTGAGAGGCTCTCAGCTCAGCCTCCTTATTCCAGAAGGGATAATCAGGGTCCCCAGGAGGTTAAGATACAGGAAGATAAGATCACTTGATTGGCCTTATACAATTTCTTGCATTAGGAATTAGTCTTTTCACATACCCCAACGTGCTCTCCATGAGACACACTGACAGGGAGAGAAGCTTGGGGTCAGAGCACAGGGTCAGCCATTTACACGGCACCCCTGGAGCAGTTGGGGTTAATGGCCTTGCTCAGGGGCCCAACGGAGTAGGATTCCTCTGCCGGCTGCGGGATTTGAACTGGCAACTTTCCAGCCACTCTGCCCCTTTTTTTTTTAAGATCACTATGTTCTGAACCAGTCCTGGCTGGGCTGGCCTTGTGTTTGTGACCACACGGCTGTGGGACAGTTCTGGAGATGGGGGGAGGGGGGTCACCCGAAATCTGACGCACTCTCCCTCCCTCGACCTGGGCACCCCTGCGGCCGTGACTGGCACTGCGCACTGAGCATGAGAGTAAGCAGAGCCCACAGGACAAACCGAAGCTAGCCACACTGAGAGTCTGAGTAACACTGCTGGATTGTCAGGCCTCTCCTTCAGCCGAGATGCACATACTTGTGGTGTCAGCCTAACTGCTGTGAGCAGACCTCTTAAGGCCATTTCAACACTAAGGCATGGTGTTTCTCATTATCGTTAATACGAGCTGCCACAGGGCACGCTAGTTTGAAAGTTCTTAAGAGCTGCATAGAATGCGGGCAGGAAAAAGGGGCACCGAGCACTGCGTTCAAACTAAAACACAATGTGACTGGCCATTTCTTACCTCGTGTTTGTTCGGGGACGGATCATTCCTTTTTTTCCACAAACACTCGCTAGGGCACTGAACACTTACAGAGGGGGGTGTGAACAGCCCGTGAATAACGGGTCAAGTTTGGACAACAAAATACAAAACAGGCCAGAAAAGAATAACCGTGAAGCAAAAATGGACAAAGTTCATCTGGATGGACGAGTTCAGGGATAGACTGGTGTCCTGTCCAGGGTGTAGCCAGCCTTGCGCCTGTTGCTTGCTGGAATAGGCTCCTGCTTCCCCATGACAGTGAATCGGGTTAACCAATTAGAAAATACTGTAGATGGGATGGATGACTAAATAGCAATTAATAGGTGATTAACTGTTGACGAACAGATACAGGTGGGAATGACACCGTTTCAGAAAACTCCCACAGTGAGTCAGTGTTTTTCCTGCCTAAAATATTCAGTTGGTTACATTTCTACTTCCACACACAAATGAGGGCAGTCCAGAATCTCACTGTTGTTTCTCCAGGACCAGGCCTGGGGAGCACTGATACAGACCATTCTCTCTTTAGTTTTATGATGATTCATTGACAAGCACTTTCTGAGTGAGTCCTGATTGCTTCCTGAAATTCTTTGGAAGGCCACAAATAAAAGCAGAGCACCAGAGAGTGGCTCCTAGGCGTTGAGATACTTTACAAACCAGGTCTATTTCCTTGTTTATGTTCTCATTAGGTCACAATCAATGCTCTACTTACGTTTAAATACATAGAAATTAAGCACCTTTGTGCATCGTTTTTGTACATATGTACAAACATTTTAGGTACTTCTTAAGCTTAATCTATATATAAGCACACACTTGAAGCACCTACGTGTAGGGAAATACAGAAAAACTTTGTCCGTTATTTATTTATTTGATCATCCGACCAGATCAAATACGAACGAAGGTTATCTACTCTTCGTGTTTAATTTCGAGATCTGACAAGTTCAGACCACGAGGATACCTAACACATTGCTCACAAACTTATTTTTAACGTGGCAATAGCCACAATGAGTCTTAGCACTCAATTACAAAACGGCAAACAGCTGACCTTGAATACATTTCACAGTTTCAAATCACGAATTTTAACAATCCTATTAAATTCTGTAGCAGGACATTATAATATCATGCTTAATATGTTACCCATGAATTCCTTTTTATGCATCGTCCAAACCTTTTCCAAAAGAAGGCACTTCAACAAGCTATCGCCTACTGTACCTGACGGTGGTTAAGTAGGGACCTCTGCTGTCTAGTTTCATTATCGCAACCAGAGCATTGCTAGGACGTGTAGTTTGCGTGTGGCTTAACTCAGTCATGCATACTGCAGATAACTCAAACACGAATGCGTTGCTCAGCAACTGCAAAGGTCGCGAAAGTTGACCCATCCCCTTCGTAGTATCATGTTCATGCAAGGATCCCAATTAAGTTTCTAGAATGATCCGGGTGAAACATTATACACAACGTGGCGTAACAAGTCATTCTCTATATCCGCCTCTTTCTGGTGTGGTAGTAAATGTAGAATTGTATTAAAAAACTTATTACATAGTACATAGTACATTTTCAGGTTTAGATGGCAAACTTCCTGGTATAGTTTGTAGGTTTATTGGTATATTTAATCTTCTTGTTAAGGCTTTCAGGTAAAGTTTAGAGATATTACCAAAATATCAAAATTGGCAAATGATCGTCAAGATACTATATAAAATCCAATACAGGGGAAACACCTAGGAGATGACCTGCCGTATAACGTGGACAAGTGCAGAAAGTTAGGTGCAGGAGAAAAGCACAGCAGTCAGCCTGCATCAGCAGCCTCACCCAGGTGAAGTGAGAAATTACTTTTATTATTAAGGAGGGGAGTGGCTTTAGGTAGGCGAGACTTCGGCTCATCATTTTATTCTGGGGAACAATACTGCTCAGTTAACTCTATTTGCTCCATATTTCAAACAAATAACAGCACGTGACTCGTACGTCATCAATGCAAAACTCCGATTTTTGTCTTTACATTGCGTTTCAGCATACCCCAAGAGTGTGCTGCTTTCAGCTGACGCTGACAGCAGACAATTAGGGTGTCAAACATAAAACTGAAAATCTCCATGTTACGCCAAGGGGCTTCTTAAATAGCAAGAGTGCCACGTATGCATTGGTTTCCTTTATGAAAATCTGTAGCGTGCACAAGAGAAAAGACATTTGATCATCAACAGAAGAAAAACAAGAAAAAAAACTTCCAACTGACACACTGAGCAGTACTCCTTAAAGATTATAATTGCATATTTGCTCAAATGTGGCCACAGGGTGACATCAGCACTGTTGCCTTACAGCTCTTGGGCCTTGAGTTTGATTGCAGGCTGGAGCACATTTTGTGTGGAGTATGCATGCTTTCACCATGTGATCCTGTGTCCTTTCACATTCTACAGGCATGGAGGCTCAGTTAACTGGTGCTGCTAAACTGTGCCCTATGATGGGCTGGTATCCTATCAAGACCTTACAACCTACGCCTCCAGGATAGACTTTCTGATAACACACGAAGAGACACATTATAAAAAAAGACAACAGATGGGTTCATGTTATTCGTTTTTTATTGAGTGAGGTACAATGTTAGGTTCATGTGACAAGCCCTTAGGAATCATAAAAAACAAAACAAACACACAATATGGAGTCATTTTAATCCCAGCTACCCACTCCTAAAAGTTCTGCCATAATTCCATTTTGGCAAATATGAATTGTATCGAAGTTCCGCAGGTTACAGCTCTGAGAGAAACTTGCAGAGAAAATGATATTAATTTATCTGCGATTCTAATAAGACGGTGGCATGGCAGACAATACAGTTTATTTCATGCTATGAAATGCCACTATTAGTTTGTTACCACACAATCTTCTAGACAGGTAGTCAGTGTTATTTCACATCATCTGTGCAAGAGCTGCAGTGCGAGTAAGAAGGAACTAAGAAATGTCGCTCTTACATTGGATGACCGTGGTGTTACAATAAATTCTACAGTAATACAAGTAATGGAAAATAAAGTAGCTTTCGCAGTCTCAACCACTACAAGGGTGCCTTGAAAGGAAGCAAGGTGTTCCTTCTTATTACAAAGGACTTCTGAGTAGATGTGTAAAATCCAGAAGAAAATACAACAACCCCAGGAAAAGCCTTTGAAAACAAAAGTCTTTACGGGGGATAGAGAAAACTGGAGTCATAGGAGACTGCTCGATTAAACAGCATGAATTCACAGCCTCCCCACGTGCAGAAAGGCTCAGATTGGGTTCCGCAGACATTACTGCTGGCAAGGCAGAAAGCATCTGTGTGCAGAATTCGGCATTTTACACACTGCTTGGAGTAGCTTTTCTCCTGCAAAAGATTGTGCCGGGAAAGAGCGAATTCTACCACTAAACGTAGTCACACACACCCCACCTGAACTAAAAATAGCTGGCAGAAGGGAAGACGACAGCAGCTTTTACGTCATAATCCCATTCCCTGTGGTTAGGCAGATGTGGCGAATGCATTATTAATTCCAGCTTCGTTACGCAACCGGGGATTTGAGGATTACATTATGGGAACGGGAAACATTATTGCTGTGTGAAAAGGCCAAGAAACGTTAGCCGAGAGCAGACCAACGATCCTCCTGTGTGGTCAAGGCTCCCGGCAACACGGACAGAACCCGTTGCGTCTTCGTGTCAATAGAAAATATGGCTCAAAGCATTCAGCATCCACGCCATGTGGCTCTGCCAGCAAAACAAAGGGAAATTTGCTGGAACTAAGTCAACGTTTGTGCTTTACGAAAGGTGTGGGGCTTCTGAAGCTGGAGATCTGTAGTCCTATCCAACCCCCCACCAGGACAGGGAGGGGAGTGGAAGCCACTGTGTGCCCATTCTCTCCTCCGGATCGGACCAACAGTGGTTGAAAGGGCCGTAAAGCTACTGAATTCCCATCAGATACGAGTCCGTCCCCACTGCACAACAGCCCAGCACTGCAGGCAACATGCCAAAACAGTCCAGCCTGATTAGCCAATACCCCAGTGCTGACAGCTCCTTGTTTATCGCTGTAGAACACACACAATGACCCCAGAAAAAACAACACCGCTCCCCACCCATCCTGTTCCTGGATGGCAGAGGTCAAAACATTTCATGTCACGACATTTCCTACAGCATACAAGGTCGACCCCAAGTTCATTTTCATTTTTCCTTCTCCAGGCATCACAGTAAAGCCAAAAGCCTGGTCAGCACTGGATTTTCACCCATGCCAGACTACTAGGGTCACGGGAGCAGGCACCAGGAAGGAGACTGGGGTTCTGGTACAGAGCTGGCTGTCGAGGGTATTTCTTCCTAAAGAGGATAGGCTCCTCGGAAAAATTCTCAAGGCCAAATACGAAGGATGGGGCTCCAGTATGCTGGAAAGCCCAAGTCCACCATTGAAGAAGGAGGTATTGTGCAACGCAAAGTTTCCCCACAGGCATGTAGGGATTAAACTAACTTTATGTCTAGCAGCCTGGCGTCAGTGAAGCAAAACTAAGCTCGACCCAGGCAGACTCCTCCTGGGGTAGCAGGCCATGGCTTGGTCCAGGAGATGGGAGAGGCCTCCTCTCCCCGGGTCACGGTTTCTGGCCTGACGTCCACAGCGAGGAGCTCTGGGAGGCAAGGCCGAGGGCTCTGGAGGCACTGACGGCGGGGTAGGCCCGACCTTCGGGCACAGTCGCGAGTCTCCTAGGCGAGCAGCGGCCCGTGGGTAGCGGCACGCGAGTGGCAGTCTCTATAGCGTCTCGAGTGCCCTGTGTGCACTGGAGGGAGCAGGAGGAGGGGACAGCGTGCGAGGAAAGAGAAGAGAAGGCAAAAAGATGACTGCAGAGGCCCAGCTGAACTGCACCACCCCTCAGCTCAGGCAGACAACACGCGCCAACCAGTGAAACCACTGATCTCTAAAATCTTCCGTTAGGACGCAAGCGGATGAGGAATCTGGTTCATTGCTTAAACGGAGTATAACACATTTATACGGAAATAAAGCACTCCATCTGGCTGCATTCCTCCAATAAGATCAGATTTGCACCTTCTATTTTGATAGATTTGTTTTTGCAGATGCACTGATCCATTGAGTGCTTTAGCAAAAAAAAAAAGAGTAACACAACCTGCCCTGTCCAGTCTGTCACTGGGCATAGTGGACTGAGCAGTGCATCCTCCGTTCTACAAGTGAACACAGAACTAGCACTTGGGAAAGGTGGCACAATCTTGCGTGGAAGCGATGACTGTGGTCAAGAGCAAATGAAAAGCATGCAGACATTCCAGTGCACGTGCAAAGCACAGCCTCGGTACAAAGCACAAAAACATTACAGAGCACTGAATCTACAATGTCACAAAATTGCACGGTGCTGACTTCTGCAGTACGTGAGGTACAGCTTTGTAAGTAACAAACCCTGCCACCACTCCAGCCATTCATGTCCACGGCACGTTTCTAACAAAATATTTTAACAAAATGTTGAAACAGTTCTGTAAAAGCTAAAAGAACAATGAGAAAGTCAAGGCATCAAAACCAGCATCTGTTCTATTAATATTACTGTAGTATCAAAAATGGATTACAGTACTGTCCTGGGACTATTCTATTCTGTACTATTGTGAAAGAAGGATTCAAGTAATGAAATTATACTATAGTATCAAAGCAGGTACAAAAAGTAAAATGATAAGAGGGAATACTCATTTTATTGAGCTTCGCAAGAAAAACATCTTTCTCTTTATACCCATCAGACTTCTTGCTTAGTGCTTCCTCGCTTCTGAAGATTTAAATGTCTTTGAGCCAAAGGATCTGTTCAAGGTGTGAATCAGGGAATTCTGAATCTGGGTACAGTGCAGGTGGAGAAGGGCCATTTGAAAAAAACACTGCAGCTCTGCCCAAGAGTCTAAGACTGTACTGAGGTTTTTCTGAAGCTCTGTGTGAGAGCAGCTGCTACCCTGACTAGTGTCTCAGAGGTGGCAAACTGAGAGCCATGCACGAGCATCAATGAAGGGCATGCATCCGAACACTGCCAGCTCTTACCAGCTCCCCTCTGACTGCGATACACGCTAAGCCGCTAAAGTCAACTATCCCATCAGGCTGTGCAAGAGAGCGCAAATTCCTGGCAGTTCTCCTCCTGAGGAAAACATCACAAAACCCGCAGATTAAAACTCCTAAATGAAGAAACCCACACCGCCTAGTGCAGACACAGACAGATGCATTGTGCACAAGATTTTTTTAAAGAGAGCAACGTAAAAAATTAATAAACCTGGGGATTTAAAACACACATAAAGAACATGCACACAAGTCAACATTCCCAATTCTTGCACTTTTTGCAATTTATATGCCTCCATATCAATGCAGAAGTACTTATGAATAAACCAGTCAACAAGAAAAGACAGAATAAAAAGTAATCCCAATTAAAATAAGGCATTTTAGAATGGGCTCAGTCTAGCAAGATTCAGGAAAAAAAACAGGCGTTTATTTCTCAGCATGCTTGTCTTGTTGAAATCCTGTTACATATGCTCAGTTACGTGAACCACTTGTATTATTTGATTAGTATGGCTAAGCGTTGTGGCACAAGTGCAACCTCAGCAGAGACATCTGAAACCTTAAGAGGAAGTCATGTGGGGACGTATATGAGCGTTGCACATATCTCAGGATAAAACACTTTGCTAAGGATAGAGCTGCAAGAAATAGTCACATTCTCTCTACAATGGCAGTCTGGTGTGAGACAATCTATTAAATGACAGAAGTGGATTAATGCTACATACCACACCTACTGTATAACCAATGCTAAAAAAAATCCTTCCCTGAATATAAGGGCCAGGACCTATATTTCCTAATAATGATTTGTTGCAAAACCCTCTGACTCACGCTTAGAAAGAGGAACGGTGACATTTCACCTTTTTTCTCATGGTTCAACAGTAATAATCACACTTATAAAACTAAAAGAAAATGTAGTGATCAAGTTCTCTGGTCTTTTGCAGAGCGAAAACCAAACATCTATTCTCAGAGCACAAAAAAAACACACAATGCTGATCAAGATATTTCAATGAGGGGAAAATGTCATACAAATAAAGTCTATGTTTTTAACATGAAAAAAGATCAACACTTTCCACTTAATAACCATAAGACAAAACATTTCCCAAGTCCAACAAGGACAAGGGAATCAATATATATAAAATATTAAAAGTAAAAATCAGAAGAAAAGTAGGAACAGGTAAGGAACTGTTATTGAATTTTGTCAGTATGTTCTGTGAAGTAAAAACATTTACATCATGCAAAGTCCACCTAGAAAAGCCTTAATCAGTGTTTAAAACCAAAATAAGCTTCACAGCCACCACAATACAAAGGCACAAGTGTTGAACAAAATGAGTTATGCAAATTAGATTTCAACAGCTTCCACACTGAAAAACAAGCGAGTAAGAACTACATAATCATGCCTGACTACAGCCACACTCTCACCAATCAGCTCAATCAACCAAATATTTCCATCTTCACGAAAAAATCCAGCTGCTCTTTGTCAGCTACTGAAGTTTAAGAAAACACCTCACAGGATTTCTAACACAGCCATCTCACATTACGCCTTTCTTAGGACTACAAACAAAAGCTGACCTTAAACAGTCAACTGAAAACTATTAAAATTATTCAACACCTGAGAAATGAAAAACATAAATGTCTCATTCCCAATAAGCCCATTGTTTGCATTCCCATACACATGAGCTACGCACTGAGATGGCCAGACAACCAGACATGGCACACCACCAGGGTCTGCGCAACACAAGTTGACACAATACTGTACTGCAACATTGCTGATGAAAACCAACTGGAATGGTCACAACCGGCACAGAGGGGTGAGGAGGCTGCAGTCTGTAACACATTCAACTGGCTCAGGGGCCACGTCGTAAATCTGTACTGGTCAGTCCCTGAGCCAGCTGGTGCGTCACAAGAGCTCTGAGCAGACGTAAATGGAAAGGGATAACTTACAGCACAACAGACAGCAGGCTAAAGGCAATGTTTTAATCTATTTCACCAGCAATTAACACTGAAGCTCCTCTGTAGGCACCATGGAGCAAAAGATACAGACAGAGCACAACTGAATGAAGTCTCCAAGAAACAATTTTCAAAATCATAAAAGAAATTCCATTTTAAAAGTCATAAACTGGAATGAAAATGTGCCTTGCTTTCTCATCCAACATCAGCACTCTTCATTTAAAGCAGTCGTTTGTATAAAATGTAAGTATCTTATTTATAACTACTTCATCGCTGGCTGCTTCACTGTTAATACTCGCTCATTATGGACTTATGAAGTGTTATTTGCACCTCCTAAAGCAACATTAGCAAAAGTCTGAACTTAAGCTCTTCTTTATGAACATCAAAAGCTGAACTGCTGTATTGACAAAGTCTCTCTTTTTCCATAAACAAAGGAAACAATTCATCACAGATGTGATCAAATTCCAAGTAGGTGTTTTTTAAGTGTGAGATTTTTCAGGATTTTGTTTTGTTCTGCTTTGTTTTACAAGTAACAATTAAAAGGTTGAACTGCTAGCTGTGGCTTTGTGAATACCACTTCTATTTTTTTTAAAACCAGCCTTTTAACTTTGATCTTCTTTGAGGATTACTGTAAATTAAAAGAAGCTTCAATATCTGCCCTCCCCCCGTTCAAAATAAACAGGAAGTGCTGGCTTCCTCCTTCTTGAAATGAGGATCTGAAAGACACCTCTGGGATTTTAAGAGCACTAGGATGAGATACCTTATGAATTTCATGCTTTAATAAAAACTAAGGCAAATTCTTGAAGCAATTAGACCTTCTAATCTAAGAGTTCAATGCTTGTCTGCTACCAGATGTTTCACCAAGCAAAGTTTTAAAGTCTTAGCAAAGTTTTTCAAAAATAACTTTTCCCAAATCTGACTTTGAGATGAAAAAGAAGCTTCCCCATTAACCGAACCTCACTGAGACTGAAATCGGAAAATAATGAGCTGCTTACAAGATCTCTTGTAATTGGAATGACTTCACAGTTTATAAATGAAACCACATGGAGACGACTATAAACTGAAAGAGCTGTACTGTAGAAAAAAGAAGGTTTGCAGAGGCGCTAATTAAATTTCCAGGGCAAAAACAAGACCTTTATAACAGTAATCTGAGGGGTCAGCAGTGGAAGCAATGCGTGACAGACTTCGCACCAAGTCTTGGCGACCCTGTCCTGGACACATATTCCAATGTTCGCTGGTGTCCGAGCCCCACATTGGCCAACAGGGCTCAAGCCTCTCACGTAGAGCATTCAACTCCAGAACTGTCACATGTCCATCTCACAAAAATGCCTTACACAACAGAAGCACATGTGCTGTTCTACTGGCATTTGAAGAACATCTGGATGAGACCACAGCAAGGGCAACATCTGAGCTTTTGAGCAGTGTCCTGCACCTGCATTTCCATTAATCACTAACAGCCTATAGCAACTAGATGCCCCTGCCCAGGCCACCACAACTGGATGATGGGTGAAACTCCAGGCCCATCACTCACAGACTGTTTGGCTGTAACATCCTGTGGTCTATGAACTACCCCAGACAGTGAACCACAATGCAAGTACAGGCTTCAACAACACAAAGACATTTTATCAAGAGAACATGGAGCCCAATGGCTCCTTTCTGTTTTTCTTTCTTGATTTTAACCAAGCTTGACATTTGAATGAGTTAAATCACCTCATTACTTGGCACAATCAGTGAAGTGATTCTTAAACAAAAAGTCACTCGAGCGTATCAGGGTTAGTCACGAACAATCAATTTCTCAAAATGATGCCAAAAACACTCAGCCAATATTCAATATCTGCATTTATTAAAAAAAAAAAACATGTAAGAATAAGAGTGACAAGTTTCCTTGGATGCTCAGCACACATAAAAAAAAGAAGTGTTCATAAACCTTATTTAGCAGGCTGTTAAAGGTTTCACGCAGGATTTAAGCCTGCAAGTAAATTTCCTTGCACTTTAGTGCAACAATGTTTTATCCTAGAGCCAGAGATCATTTGGAAATCAAGATGACTTCTTATTTTGGGAATTTGCTTGCTGGGATCAACAAGTGCCTCTTTTACATTATATTTAAATCAAACAGTAATATGCACATTCATCCTGACCATTTACATGTTGTTTTTTACTTTGAAAGTGCAAATGTTTTACAAAGAACAACTGTGGTAGCTTACGTCAGCTGCATTAGACTCAGAAATGCAAAATGCTGTTTGCACAAAAGTTTAAACACTGAATGATTACAAAATGTATATATTTTTAAAATACTGTAGATTTAAAGAGGTCCAATTCAATTAACCTGGACACAAGATTTCAATCTAGTATGTGATCCAAATACTGTTTCAATACTGCAAAATGCATCTGAGATTGTGGATTTCTGAATGTGATTATCATCAGAAACAGTGCAGGCAGGAGAAAATTTACTTAGAAAATGACATACTAAAAAATGTTTCACACCACACTGGTCACCAGTATGCAAATGGACAAAAGCCCAGGCCCACTGACTGTTTGATAAAGTTTACAACAACCAAAATTAAAAAAAAAGGATTTGAAAATAATTTTACATTTTATTTAATAAAACCTCAGACTGACAGATCTGGGATTTTAAAAGTCATTTTTAAGTTTTGGATCAAGAGGAATAAAAAAACAACTTTATCTTGTGCACTTCATTAGGAACACCAGATTTTAAAATAAAAAGAATGCAGCAAAGAATAAAAAAAGAGATTGCAAACAATAAAATGAACAGATCTTTCACCGGCATTCAAAATCTCTTATACTGTCAGATTTGTAACCGAGAGATCTTGCTTTTTGTCGGGACACCTCTTGCTCCCTGTTCTGTTTTCCACTCTGTTGAGGAGCAAGACTCAACACTGTATCCATCACAATCTGACCAAAAACACATGGCGAGGAAGCAGGTAGCTTGTGCAGCCAAATATTACCCTGGACTCCATGGGGAGCACAAGAGCCACCGGCAAGAGCAGTCTCAGGAGGCTGTCTTTCAGTCTGCCGCACAGAGCTGCCCTCAGCTGCCCGCTGTGTGCTGGCTGTAGGCTGTGATGGCCCGGGACACCACTGCGGCTGTACCTCCACACACCCACACACAGACACAGGGAGGAAAGGGTGTGCACCATGAGTGTGCAGAGCCCAGCACTGCACTACCGTCACATCACCACTAGGGCGCGCCGCCTACCATGTTGGTGTCGTTTTTGGCCACAAACGGAGGGAGGTCGGCTTCAGGGGGAGCTGCAGGGGGCGAGCTGTCCGCCGGCACAAAGCCTCTCCTGTCAATTAAGCTCCAGAGACAAATAAAAACACTGATTACAGAATTCGGGGGCCGGGATAATACCTTTGAGCCAGCAGAGCCTGCTGTTATGACCCAAATACGGGTCCCCACATACACCCTCCCACCATACATAAGAGCCACTGAATCCACTGCTCATTGGAGCCAGAGGACAGCACTGGAGACCCTCGCAAGTTTACTACAAACATCAAGGAGGAAACCAGCAAGCCACTGCACACTGTGGCAGATCCGTGCTGAGGATTAGCAATCGGCTTTTAGAAAATGTATCAGACGTGAATCGCCTTTAAATGCAGCCCCAATCCAAAGATCAACAGGTCAAGTAATCTCCATAAATGAAGTGGAAGCGTAACAGGGGTATATGAACGAGCCCAGGTTAATTTCCACGCTGAGAAGCCGAGTAAAACACACAACATTTCCCCGTCCAAGGATGGCTTCATGGCCAAAACACTGTGCATTTTACGTGAGTATCTTCCAATCACGGAAATTAAACTCCACTTGTTCCTAGGCAGCAGGTCACAGAACCAATTTAAAACAAAGAAAATATTAGTAGCCCTGGTATTGAATAGCCAGCTCATGTTAAGCATTTGATATTAAAACTTTGGTTACAATTTGGATTTGAATGAAAAAAGTGTTTCACCCTGTTTACCGATAGGAGGTTTTCCTCTCGCAGTGCAAGTGACCGACAATGATCCAAAACAGAACGAGCAAAACCACAGCGGAGCTCCCTCTGGCTTACCTGGGCGGCATGGGGCCACAGAGCACGGCACAGCAGTTCTTGAAAATGTTGTTGTAGCTGTAGGGATTCCCCAAGTCTTCTGCTCCCCGCTTTCCTGACCAGGAGCCTTTTATCTGCGTACAGGAACCACAGGGCCACGTGATCACAGGGCCAAGCAAACGGACATGATAAACAACATGGCGCCGCCACAGCCTCTTCAGTGCTCCTGCATCAGCACGAAGGCATGCCTAGCGGGGGGCTTGCACAGCACTGCAAAAGCACAGCGCGTTACTCGCAGCTCAGGTCTCTGCATCACGTCAACAAGTGCAACTTTAACGTGCCGCAGTGGCTCACAATACCCAACTGCACTGGCGGCTCATTGAGCTTTACAGTTTCTGTCTAGGGCAGCACCGCGTCCACGAGTCTCCAGCGAAGGGTCTGGAGGAAGAGACCCTCATCCAGCGGAGACCGAAATGTTAGACTGAGATTAGAACTCTCTGCGATCATGATCCTACAGCCGTCCACTGCCCTGAACACACACTCAGGCACTGAGAAGAGTGCTGACTGGCTGCCTGCACCAGGAGCGATCCGCCTGGAAAACCCAATAATAACTGTACTGCCACGGTCAACAGACATGCAGAAGCTAGCCATGCCCATCAGTGCATCACACTGCTGAGTCTTTATCATTAGTGATAAATCACCTGGAGCCACTTCACCTGCAGCCCTTCAAAAATAATGTTTTCAGTCCCACGGATTTGATCCCGACATCAGACCAGTGGCCAAGGCCAGGAAACACCTATGCCCAACACTTCGGAGTAAGCCGCTCCTCTTGCGGAAAGAGGTGTTTCAGCGAGCTCACGTGAAGCAACTTGTCTTCATTAAGGAGCAGCTGGAACGGCTTTGCTACAGTGCTATTTGACCACAGCAATATTGCGCAAATGGTGACTCTAAAGGAAAGTGCAATACCATTCACCTGTGCCTGTGCTCAGTACTTACATCTTCATTAGTGGTGAGGTTTGAGGCGACGAGATATGTGTGGAACCCTGAGAGGCCCAGTATAGACCAGACTGAAAAGAAACAGACCACCAGCTCCAGAACATTGCAGCTAGAGTTAAGGACAAAACCCAGTGGGGTCTCTGCTATGTTACCTACAAAATGGCTCCTTTTCCCCTCACTGACTGATAATTGGAAGAAAATATTTTCCCCTCAAGGGAATTCCTTTCAGTTATGAATTTGTGGAAGAAAACTAAGAAGGGAATAGCTACTTAAAAACACAAGAATTTCTATATTCCCTTGCATGCTGTTACTCTTTAACAAAAGGTTCCGTTTGGTGGTTTTAGTTCTTGCAAACTAAAATAACCACAGAACTCAAAATAAGGTGATGAAGTTCACCAAAAGGTAAAAGGACCAGGCTTATCAAAAAAGCACTCTGAATTTCACTGGCCAGAGCCCACACCCACCCAAGCACTCTGCTCACCGCGAGGTCAGTCCATTCTGATGCCTCTGACCTTCTAAAAGTCCCTGCACAGGAAGAGGGGGAAAGCAGGAAATTCTCCTGAAGAATTCTAACTGAGCAGACTAATACATCTGATCACATCCAAGGATCCGAAATTCTTGCAGATCGAAGGCTTGGGAAGGCATTAAATTGTGCAACTGGAAACAAGCGGCCTTTGACCAAACTGAAAGGATATCTGGCAGGACTCTCCTGTAGAGCCACAATGAGTCCCTTCCCAGCCTGTGAGCCTGTAGAAAACAAAGTGCACATTAACAGCTAGAACCACACAGCAGCTGTTCTGTATTAGGTCAAGGGTAAGCGTGGTATCAAGTCTGTCACATGGTCATGTTATAAATAGACAGGAACAGGACACAGAAGTAGCAACAGCTACTAAGAATAAAAAATACCAATAGTGACTTCCTGTGATTGTCTGTCCCCCCCCCCCCCC